GATTGACTGAAAGATTGATTGATTGACGGATTGATTGATTGGCTGACAGATTGATTGACAGATTGATTGATTGGTTGACAGATAGATAGATTGACTGAAAGATTGATTGATTGACAGATTGACTGACAGAAAGGTTGATTGATTGGAAGATCGATTGATTGACAGTTGGACGATTGACTTTTGAGCTCTTGAATTGTTTAATTGAAAGCCTCAMTGTCTGRCTGATTGATACATTAAGCTCTGTAACAAACMAAATCTCAATTCGTGTATCAGGCAGACTTTTTTGTTAGATGATTATTTCTTGTGTGAAGTAACCCTTCCTTATCGCATGAACTGCAGGAAACTCCTTTCCCAGACGAGGAAGCTCTTCAGAAAAGCCTTCAGGATAAGATCAACTGGGATGCTTATAAGAAGAAAACCCTCCAAGGGGTTGTCAAGAATGGAAATTTGAGAAGACAATTTTACAATCGACAAAATCATCGAAAACAAGACGATGAAAATGATATGGATATTTGCGAAGATCTAAAAGTCTTACTCAAGAATCTACGAGAGACGGGAAGCTAGCAGCAAAACGATTTCACATTTTCACCAGAAAATTAAGTGATTCTAGTCACAAGTGTACATAAATCATGAAATATTTATATGAACTATACTTATTAAACCAAAAAATTAAATGCTAATGTATAAGATCTTGTTGATCGTTCAAGCTCTGGTTTTATTACTCTCATCTTTGTTTTCTTGTCATTACAATCAACACAATAACAGCTGGTGTTTTCGCTAATTTTGTTTTTTTGGGAGTTCGGTTCTATTCTCACTGTATGTATATTAGTTTGCGCGAGTTAAAAGTCAAAAAATACCGTAACGTAAGTCGATTCGACGCCTAATCTACAAAACGTCTCCAGGCTTATCTTATTCTCGAGGAGAGTTTTTCTCGTGATAAGACTTAAAAGCTCGTATCGTTTTTTTTATGTTTTTTTCAATTTCATGCTTGTATAGCGGATATAGATACAATTCTCTTTTACTGATTTGATATATTTCATTTCACATTCTGCGCGATTTATCATTCATACTCCAAGAAGCATTTTGAATTAATGTGTCTTTCGTAACTTAAAACTGATTATTATCCATTCTTTTAACCGTTCCCAAGAAAAGTAAACAAAGCCGGTTAACTTACGAGAATGATTAAGTGGTCTGAGTACAACTTTTATTTGAATTTTGACTTTTTTTAGGAGTGTTAATGAATCCCTCTTTGGCGCTGCTACGAAGACAAATCTATCCATGAAAACACACAATTTTATCGTGAAATATTTATGTTAATCTTAAAATTGGGATTTAAACAGACAATTTCGTGGGTTTTTGAATGATCGCCTGTCGAGTACGTTTCCTACGTTAGTAATCTGCTGATTGTTGCTTTAATTTCCTTAGTTTCTGCTTGTATTGTGTCGGAGTTTGGTCTATATAATGTTCATTGTTATGATAAAGGTGTTGAATTTTAATAAAACATCGTAAAAACCCTTCTGCATGGCCAAATATGCACGAAAAAGAGAAGAAAGTTTTGTACTCGATCAAAACATTGATACCCAATAAAACTTAATGTTAACTGACGACATGGCGAATTATACTCAATTTCAACACCTTAGCGAGGCCCTTCATTCGTATTTTTGATAGTTAAGCTTGTCTGAAAGCACAAAAAGAAATTAAAATATTAATGATCGAAAAATGATAAAATATTTTGCCGATAAAAACTCCGGCATCTTCAAACATCGCCTATTTGTTGAATAAMACATTCCCATTCGCATCCAAGATAACTACATTGAGAATGTTTCACTGCTTTATCCCATTATATAAATGACATTAACATTTTTTATAATAATTTCTGAATGTGCTCGTTGTCTATGCCGATATTTTATAATTTTGTGTTCATCGTTTTAAAATATTGCAGCCAACGCGCGATATCAATCCATGTYTACCATTTTTCACAAGAATTTTTATATAAACATAAGTACAAAATAAAATAATAATAAATAATCGGCATTTTTTAATTGCTGCCAATTTGAAGGACGTAGATTCGCAATAATAAAGTAACGCTTTCACTTAAAAAACTGCATTAGAATAGGAATAATCGAGTTCTTGATTGAAGTAGAAATTGCGCGCCATTTTGACTTTGAAATTAGTTATATCAGTTCACGCTTTGCTGCAGTTGCCACTACATTGCGTAGTAAGGTCCGTTTACACTGACGATGTTTTCGGCGATTTTAATGTGGTCATTTTGATCCTAGARAATAAAGCTAAAGAATTAACTTGTAAACTTTTATTTAGTATACACTGAGATGAGATAACTTAACGTCTCCTCAGAAGGATAAGACAAAAGCTATTACTTGTTTGAAAGTCGCCCGAAAAACTTGATTGCAGCAAAAATCGACTCAAAAATCGCCAATGTTAAGGGGSCTTGAGCTTGAATTAACACAATCTGAGGTAAAGTAGCACTACTCRGCGATGAAAATAAAATAAAAACCCTACTGATATGATAAATAATTTTAAAGTCAAATATATTAAGAGCAAATGGCAATGAAAACGCTATCAGGACATCTACAATTGTGTGATTGGTGAAATCATATCATCGCTGACCCCGCGGGATTTTCCACCACGCCTTCTGTTACTAAACACTGATAACAAATACTTGAAAACACTGCAGGGAAATAAACAACTAGTAGTAACATTTACGTTTAACCAGACCATGTACAACAATAAAAACCAACACAACTTTAATAGTCAATAAATCAGATTAATTGAACTTTCTTTGCTAAAAATCATCTTTTTTCGCTTCAATTACATTTCAAACAAGTTTATGTTTATATTTGGGATCCAATTTTAAGAATTCAATTTTCAAGCATCGAATATTTCGCCCTCATTTGATGAAAATGGAGATTTTACCTTCACTGTCTGCGAGTTATGAATTATTCTAAGATTCAAACTGTGATGGCCCAGCTCATACCCGGTTTGTTTTTGTAATTAAAGTTTAAAGCTCAATTTAAGAACTTTTCATCCTTAGACTTTTGAAAATGACAGCACGAGTCCTTCTATGGGCYACARTAACGAACGATTTCATGTCCAACAAGAGGTTTGAACTAAACATGAGTGGTTAAGATTGCGAGACGTGACTACTATTTATTGCATCATTTACGAAAAAGACGTAAGGTGTCTTAGCCTGCAGCGAATTATGAAAAACGAAAAAAACCTGAATCCAAAGACACCAATCGAGAAAACTATTTAATTCAGTAATTCAGTATTCAAAACATGGATAGTTAATACTGTCTGCCAAAAAACAGCAATCCATCACTTTGGTTAAAACCTAATGACGTGACATTTYAAGCGTCAATACAGCGAATCAAAAAGCTCTAAGGCTGATAGTGACCATTTATCGCAGACGAAAATCCTTRACATGCTATCCACGTTAAGTAAATCCCCTTTGAACGATAGACTGTGTCCTGACGGAGAGCTTTACATGAATGTTTGATGACGCACWCGATCAATTCACGTATTGGTGGTAGTGTCTCTCKCKATTGGCGGTTTGTTTAAATCATTGACGCGCGTAGAAACTAGGCGACTTTTAGCGTATTATACTGGCCTTTAGACATATGCGTACTTACTTTAACTCAATTAAATGCCTTTTTACGCTTGCTTTTTTCATTCTTTTCTATATTAAAATATAAATTACCACTAAAAAAGACCGAAAGCTTTTAACACAGCAAGTACATACAATCGCCATTATCCTTGTCYTGTTAACATGGACCTTCTAAAATTTGTTAGACGTTTAGCTAAGTCTATCCCTAGGGCAATGTATCAAAGAAGCTAAAATATTCATTTACAGTGAGCACAAATTAAGGGGGTTTGTCGTTGATTGATTATTCCAATTTTCCCAACGCGCGGTTCTTTCTAGTCATCACCTGTACCTTGATAATGAAATGCTACATACGACCCGATTTGTCGTGATGGACTTCAAAAGTCGACCAATAAGGGTGAACTTGGACGAGCATATACAAATAGTCAACATCTGGCGGTGAAAATCAGAAAACACAAACTCCATATCGATACAATTGGCTAAAAGAAGTTCAAGTTTTTGAGTATCCTTGGCCCACTCAGGGAAGTTTAGTAGCCAATTGATGTATTACTATTGAGTGTACACATAAGATGGATTGGTCGGCGCTTACTGTATAAGTTAGGTTTAGCACCAACAGATGGGATCTAGAAAGCGTCCAGAAATCATGCCACAAGTTATCGATACAACTCAACGAAGGATCACGCTTAATGTTGGAGGTCAAAAACATGAGACGTACCTGAGTACGATCAGGAATTAYCCCGATACAAGGCTTTATTGGGTCGTCGAGAATGTCACAAAGACTATTGATTATCACTCTGAAAAAATCGAGTTGTTTTTCGACCGACATCCAGGTATCTTTGCCTTAGTTCTTAACTACTATCGCACGGGAAAACTGCATTGTCCGAATGATGTTTGCGGACCTCTGTTCGAGGAAGAACTAGCGTACTGGGGAATCGACGAAAAAGACATGGAACCTTGCTGCTGGACGACGTATATACAGCACAGAGACGCTGAAAATAACCTCAAGAGTTTCAATGTGGTAGACTTTGAGCCTGACTGTGAAGACGARGKAGACAAACAAAAAGAGAATGAATTGAATGGCAAGTCTAGCAAGCTGTACAGTATGTGGTCACACTATCAGCCAAAAATATGGCCATTACTAGAAGAACCAAGATCTTCAAAAGCTGCCAAAGTAGGTTATCTATGAGCTTGTTTAATAGCCAGCTCGAGGCATTACTATAAAATTAGATCAGTCGATGTTCACTTTTCCATCAAATTTACATACCATATATCCGTTTAAGGATGATTTGCAGAGGTTTACGCACACAACGCGTTGGTGGATTTACGTTTCTAGTTTTTACAAAAGAACTTTTACTATGCGGTTTGCAAAATTATACGATTTGAATTGCTGCCAAAATTATAACATATGTGCATTCCGTTTTCTGTCAAGAGTAACCCCCAGTAATCCGTCAATTATGGTATAAATTTCGTTTTTGATTTCTTTGGAATATTCCAAATTTTCTAGMGGTGCACGATGATCAAAATATAGACGATCAGATTCGTCTTGTCGGGTTTATTCTGMGGAACAGATGTATTGTTGAAAATGAAAGTGTAGTTACTTTTCAATTTCATCGAAGTAAATAGAATGATTGAACGCCAACTTATTCGCTCAGCAGTGTACCTTAACATATTGTCGAAGATCAATTTCTTGACTTAATGTACTATGGTACTYTTGGTTGTTTTGGCTGTACATTTCCTTCACTTACAATATTATTCAAACACAAACTACTTTCTTTAAGATAGATTTTGATAGGCGCTCATTTTAATATGGAAAACTTAAAAACAATTTAAACATTGTTGTATTTTATGAGAGTACTTGCCAACCCCGTAGAGCGTATATTAGATGACTAGAATTTCTCGAACGATAACTAGTTTATCAAGAACTGATAGATGATGCCGTGAGATGAAACAWCCTGACGCCTAAGTTAAAATGAACTATGCACCCTGTCACGCAGAAGAATTAGGACCAAATATTGCTTTTCATTTGCASAATGYAATTAGTTAAAAAAGATATTACAAACTTGTGTTTTTCCATTATTTGTAATTGTGGTGCAGCTCCATATCCGAGTTATCCAACCACCATTTCGTTTTACAATTCTTTTCAATTATAAACGGGAAATACAGGGCTTTTAATGATTTTCTCTTTGTCATCGTTTCATTATTTGCAACCGATTGTTTTAAGAGTGGTGTTTTCAATAATTTCAAGTAAAGTTCCATATCTAACAACAACGCAATTATTCTTATCTCATAAATTACGATAAAAATGATAACATCGTGAATATTATTTCGGTGTTTGTCAAGTCTAGTGTGTTTTGTTAGAAATTGCTTCAATATTTATGGGTTTTCTTTCCCCTCTAGCAGCAGAAACATGATATAGTCTGTACAAAGCTTATGAAAACATAGATCATGTAAAGGAAATACGACCACCACGACATGATACTCGGAAAAAASCTTTCAGTAAATATAAAACTGTTTATTTTTCCAAACCAATTTCTTGTTTGCAGTTGTTGCCTCAGCTCCTCAAACAACAGTCCGTCTAAAAACAGCTACAAACTGTTCTGCTCCAAGGAGATCAAAARGCRAGRCCTCTTTTTYMRKTYSKTWA